ACAATCACACACACACACACACACACACACACACACACACACACACACACACACACACACACACACACACACACACACACACACACACACAGTGCCTTGTGAGTTTTAATTGTCTTGATGCTGTCTGTTTTTTTTTCCAAATTGTGTTTAATGACAGCTATGCGTGCATGCCATAACGCATTTGACTGCCCCGCAGTGGAACACGGAAAAAAAAGGGCTTGCGAAAGCGCTCTGACAGGAATTTCCCATCGCCCCATTATCAGCATCAGACAGGCTGAGTAATGGCAATTACATGTGTCCAAATGCTGAGAGACACTCTTGCACTCTTGCTTGTGCTTCCCTCCAGAGTCAAATCTCTCCGCATGAATGGGCTCCATTGTCAATCTGTAAAATGTGTGTGCATTTGTGTGCGTGTTTGCTCACGCGTGTGTTTGTGCATGCACGCACAGCCTTAACGAGGCTTTGATTAGCACATTCCTCCACCTCCATGACCTGACGAGCGCATGTCTCACACCTCGGGAAGATTCAATGCCGGAACTAAATTGGGCTTGTCATGGAGACAGCACGTCGCAGGATTGTTTATCACGGAAAATAAATCCCTCATTTTATAAAAAAATAGCATGACGTCGATACTGATCTTTGAACCTTCTGGGATTGTTTCCCCTCTAAATTACAGATTATTACGGATTTTTTGAAGCAGTCAAATCAGTCAATTCGTTGAATCAGCGCTAGACCTGTCTAACTTTTGGCCTAAGTATTTCAAATTACTTGCCAACAATTTGCTACTCAAAACTTAATAGAAAAAATACTTTCAATTTGGCCACACAATGGTGTCAGTTGAGAGGGTCAAGATTCCAATTTCGGCCTTCTTGCATGAAGTTTGCATGTTCTCCCTGTGCTTGCATTGCATCCTAACATTCAAGTTTTGCTAAATTTGATCACTCATTGAGATGTTAACAGACCAAATGAGAACCAGGGTTGAATACAATGAACACCTGCCAAAGTTCTGCGACTATAAAGTTAAGATGTTTTAATGAGACAACAGCTTCTGCTTCCTCGTCGGGTTTTTCCAGTTTTTGATTTCAACAGAATCCAAATAAAGCATGAAAATCAAACCGTGTCACATTGAGTGTTTCACTTCACCCCAAACACAAACCACTGAAGCACAGTTTGGATGAGAGACCATAGTAGGAGCCCAAATGTGAAGAGGATGAGAGATTCTGGGAGGGGGCCAGCCACTGGGCCTGGACTCCGCGTATCCTGTCTTCCCTCTGGATTTGTCAGCACTTCCAAACATGGCGACCTGCAGAGAGGAT